ACTACAAATACATTACTTACTTAATAAAAATACCCTGCAATTGTACTTTTGGTATACTAAACTGGTATACTTAAAGTCTGCTAAATTGAAACTAATTTTGTGCTTAATGCACTTTAATTGTGCTGAAGTCCAACTAAATATATACTGAAGTATATTTGTTTGTGCTAAAGTGAAACATTTATTTCATACCAAGTATAGTCCAAATCTATTAATATATTTACTGACAAATCGCTCGATACTTACACTCTAAAAAAGGGACAACCCCAGCTATTGGGTTGTTTTGACCCAGCGGTTGGGTTCAAAACAACCCAACTGCTGGGTCAAAACAACCCAACCGCTGGGTCAAAACAACCCAATAGCTGGGGTTGTCCCTTTTTTAGAGTGTAAGTATCGAGCGATTTGTCAGTAAATATATTAATAGATTTGGACTATACTTGGTATGAAATAAATGTATTTTAAATATATTGCTTTTTTACTAGGATATAATAACCCTGAATGAGACATATGGCATTTAATTATGCCAATATTGCTGAAAAATATATTAAACACAATACATCTTTTTCTGATGTTGTGGAAATGTTCCTAACTTTCAAAAAATGACTGAATTCCCCTCTCTTGAATGTACAGTGATACACTGTTGGACATAAAACACTAAATTGGACACTAAACCAATGACAGTGTGAAAAGTGTTTTAAGAGGGATTATTTTCTTCAAGTCCACAGGGCTGAAAGTGGGAATACTTGAAGAAACTCCCATTAATGAAGTGTTATTTAAAAACTGTTAAAGCGGAGCCATTTAAGTTCGCCCTGTCTGCTGTACTTTAAATGATTACTGTCGGGCAAGAACGTTTCATTGCTCAAAATTACATCTTGCGAGGCAGTTCGAAGTTAAAGTGCTCACAGTGCCTTATAGCTACATGATTCTCATGTCATTTTTCTCAAACATTTATCTACCGAAGTAAAGGCCTTGTGGTAAATACTGAATAAATATGGAGCCAATAAGCCGCATTTAAGCCTCTGACAGGCATTCTGTCAAGATGCGATGTATTCAAGAGCATCTGGACTTCATTATCCATTTGTTGGAGACATTTTGTCACATATTCAAAAAGCTTCATCAGTCATTATGACATTGTGTGGTGTGAAGATGTTTAATCCACTATCAGATAACTGATGAAGCCACTTGGATGAGAGGAGAGGCAAAACATCTTCCGCAAATGAATAACCAAGTCCAGATGGTCTAGCAATAATTTTTTCCCCTGATATTCTGCAGTGACTTTGAATGTTCAGTTGTGTCTCTGCCAGGCAAACGTGACTCTGCAAACACAAGCCCTCGCTATTTATCATGCGATCAGTTTCACGGTTGTCAAGTGAGGATTACAGATGTTTGTGTGACTCTGGCTGTTTCAGACAAAGACTGGGATTCATTTGCTTCAAGATGGTAGCGAGGAGCCTTTCAATATCCGTCTGCACCTGGCCAAAGATATTCTCACCATTCAAGAGCAAGACGTCATCTGTGTGTCTGGAGAACCGTTCTACTCGAGTGTGAGTTCAGCAGTTCTCATTATAAGCCAGATTGATCCAGTCCTGGAAAATACAAAGCTATGATGTGAAACAGCTGTTCAGCACATTCTGTTATTGTGGACATGTCAGGGACTGCATCGTCTACTGGAAGAAAGTGTTTAGTCAGTTTCCCTCAACATGTTCTTAATGTGATAACAGTAAGGTCAAAAATATCATTTACAATGGCTGAATCACCTGACTACAATATAAGTGAGTTTTTAGAGTATGAAGACATAAATAGACACAATTTTTCATAAAAATTTTATTTTATTAAGTAAAAGTCATATCAACATTTACCCTTTTAACATTTTTGGTCTTATAGTGCAAGATGCATTCATGCATATTATTAAAAGTAATAAATAATAATAATTATAAATATAATAAATATATATATTTTTGTGCAGCTCAGGATATAAATACGTAGCCTGAAACGTAACCTCAAAATATCTTGCCGCAAGAAAAGAACAGCGCTGCCTTTTTTGCGACTGAGTCATTATTCAGCTCTGGAATGTGTCATCACACATGTAGGAATTTGTTTGAATGATTTCATATTTAATCCGGTTAACCTGTGCACCTTTGTTTCAACATCATTGTAACTGCCAAGTGCGTATTTCACTGGCATTTGCGGCAGAATATTCTGACCATTGTGTTGCATCTATCATTGTCCTTACAGCAGACAGCAGCTTTAGCGCTGGTTTAAACAGACAGATCATGTTGTATTCACTGCCCTTTAATTAAGTTACTGGCATTGTTGGCATGGTGCCGTTTCTCCCCCGGGAAATCTACATGAAAAGGAGGCAATTAAAATTAATTAAGGACCTTCTCAGTTTCATGAACCAAATTGAAATGAAAAGTAAACTACCTGTCTTCCTCAACACACAGACCCGGTGTGGCATGAAAGTGACGAGTTTCCTTTGATTCCTTACAGGAAAGAACAGTAACGATCCGTCGGCAGACAATCGGAGGGTTTGGGTTGAGCATCAAGGTGATTGCACAGTTTCTCACAGCTTTCACTCAGCTCTCACATTTCTTGCAAGACTTTGAAAGTCTTTGTGTTATAATTTTTTCATAGGGTGGTGCCGAACACAAGATCCCTGTTGTTATATCTAAAATATCAAAAGAACAGAAGGGTAGGCTGTTTATTTACTCTCTCTTCTCTCCTGCTCAGAAATAAGTTGTTTATTGGTTTATACGTTTGTCTTTTCTTTTGTTTGCAGCTGAACTTTCTGGACTTCTGTTTATTGGAGATGGAATTCTCCAGGTATGCACAGATACATAAATGGGGTCATAAGTACGAGATCATTTCAGTGTTAGGGACCCTTTAAAACTCCAACGGTGTCGTAATGTAATTCACTCAGTTTCAGCCAGCAGATGTTTAGGGAGCGTCTTTCTTTTGATGGAAATTTGAGTTGTCATTTTGGAGCAGTGCTATTCCAATTATATATTCAATCTGAATTATGTATGTATTTTTCTGAACAATTCATTCATGAATTCTTCGAAATATGCTTGCATTGACTGTCAGCTTCATTTAACATATAGGCTATCCTTAATATGATTTTTTTTTGTTCTTATTATTATAGCTTCAATTCTGATCTGATTCAGATCTTTGGTGGATGTACTTGCAGCAATTTTTAATTATTGAAACATTTATAGATTACTGTTCAAACGTTTATGGTCTGCAATTAAAAAAATAAATAAAAATGTTTAGTCAGCAAGGATGCAATAAATTGATCAAAAGTGATAGCAAAACATTTTTAATGTTACAAAAGGTTTCAAATAAATACAGTTCTGTTCAACTTTCTATTCCTGAAAGAATACTGAAAAATGTATCACCATTTGCACAAAAATATGAAGCGGCGCAACTGTTCTCAACACTGATAATAAGAAATATTAGAATGCATATTTTAGAAACATATTAGAATGATTTCTGAAGGATCATGTGACACTAATGAAAATTCAGCGTTTAATCACAGGAATAAATTACATTTTAAAATATATTCAAATAGAAAACAGTTCATTTAAATTGTAATCATATTTCATAATATTGCTATTTTTACTGTATTTTTGATCAAATAAATGCAGCCATCAGAGGCTTCTTTCAGAAACTTGCTGACTCCAACTTTTGAACGGTTGTGTATATCAGGATCTATTCATAACTCCCTCTTATTACTCTTTTACTAATTTGTACTCTTTTTCTAATGTTGTCATTAGATTAACGGCATTAACGTGATGAGTTATCGTCATGAAGAAGTGGTATGTTTCATCTTTTCTAGATAATATTTCAGTTCAATCAGTGCTGTTTTTACAAAGCAGTTTTTCCCTGTGCTCAGTCTTTTAACAGAAGTGTGTCAGTAATTTTGACTCATCCTTTAAAAGCTTGACTAATTGCAACAAAACGAGTGACACATCCATTCTAATAACTGAATAAGCAAGCATATTTATTGCTCTCAGGTGCAGGTTCTGCGAAACGCAGGTGAGGAAGTGACTCTGACCGTGTCTTTCCTGAAGAGGACGCCTGCATTTCTGAAGCTGCCGCTGTGTGAGGACTGCTCATGTACGTCTGGGATTGGACACGCTATATTCACCGGTTAATATAGAACCTAAAGTGTCAAAGTCTTTTAAAGTGAAATTTATAATGAAATAACTTACCCGTTTATTTGATTTCTTTAGGTATACCAAGTGACCAGAGCAGTGGAACATCGTCTCCACTGTGTGACAGCGGCCTACATCTGAACTACCATCCCAACAACACGGTAAACATCACACAACAAAAATCTATCTATCTATCTATCTATCTATCTATCTATCTATCTGTCTGTCTGTCTGTCTGTCTATCAATCATCTGTCTGTCTGTCTGATTATCTATCTATCTATCTATCTGTCTGTCTGTCTGTCTGTCTGTCTGTCTGTCTATCTATCTATCAATCATCTGTCTTTCTGTCTGTCTGTCTGTCTGACTATCTATCTATCTATCTATCTGTCTGTCTGTCTGTCTGTCCGTCTGTCCGTCCGTCCGTCCGTCCGTCTATCATCTATCTGTTTGTCTGTCTGTATCTATCTATCTATCTATCTATCTGTCTGTCTGTCTGTCTGTCTGTCTCTCTGTCTATCTATCTATCTATCTATCTATCAATCATCTGTCTGTCTGTCTGATTATCTATCTATCTATCTATCTATCTATCTGTCTGTCTGTCTGTCTGTCTGTCTGTTCGTCCGTCCGTCCGTCTATCTATCATCTATCTGTTTGTCTGTCTGTCTGTATCTATCTATCTATCTATCTATCTGTCTGTCTGTCTGTCTGTCTGTCTGTCATCTTAATCTCTAATCTCTGTGTATGTGGCAGGACACATTGTCTTGCTCGTCTTGGCCGATGTCTCCGGGGTTGCGCTGGGAGAAGAGATGGGTGGATCTTCGTCTCATCCCCCTCTTGCATGCGCGTCTGTCCCAGTACGTCCCAGGTACTGACATTTGCAGGTGAGCTGAGCAGGAACCACACAATAAATGTCTCTGTTTTGTCTTTTGCTTTGATAGCACTTACAGTCATTTGTAGAGTTGCGGTGCCTAATGTTATGTATTTTGCTCTTGCTTTCATCTGGTAATTCTGTTTGTATTCTAGTCACACAGGATTTTCCTTGATTAGCATTTTAGGGGTTATATTAATTCACAGCCATTCCCAAATGAACCACATTAGACCTTTAATACCAAATGCAAACTTTGATGAGGTTAAGCAGTTTTAAATGAGACCTTTTTGCACATCAAGTGGAACGTAATTGAAAACTCTTAAATTGGATTGAATTAAATCAATCTGTTTTTTAAATAGCTTTGAATTGAAGTGAATTGAAAAAGGAGAATTAGACCTTAGTTAGCTACTTTTTGCATTTTGTGGAATGTCTCCTGAGTGCGCATATTTTTAATTTCTCCAGGCAAAATGCCTTTCAAGTCATTGCTGTGGATGGGGTGTGCAGCGGGGTAATTCAGTGCCCCAGTACTGATGAATGCACCGACTGGCTGCAAGCAATAGCTTCAAACATTTCTGCCCTCACCAAGCACAACGTGAGTACTAATGCAGTTTCAGCATGGTAAAAGTGTAGCAATTTAAGTCAATTCTTACACAAACGGTGATGGCTTAGAGTGTAAGTACTAATGAAATTTAACCTCTATGTCTTATAATGTGACTACCCAATGTATAGAGGGGTCCAAAAATCTGAAATCACACTGAAACTGTGAGATTCATTTCTTTTCAACCTGGAGAAAATGAAACGTTTCAGATTTTGAAGAACTTAAAACATAAAAAAATAGTTAAATTAATAATGATGTTTAATGTTACCATTTTGGTCGGTAAGATTTTTGAAATGTTTTTGAAAGACGTCTCATATGGTCACCGAGGCTGCATTTATTTAATAAAAAGTACAGTAAAAACAGCAATATTGTGAAATATTATTACAATTTAAAATAATTGTTTTATATTTGAATATATTTTAAAGTATAATTTATTGCTGTGATGCAAAGCTGAATTTTCAGCATCATTACTCCAGTCTTCAGTGTCACATGATCCTTCAGAAATTATTCTAATATGCTGATTTGGTGCTCTAGAAAAATTTCATCTTATTATTAATGTTATAAACAGTTGTGCTGATTAATATGTTTGTAGAAACAGTGATACATTTTTTTCCAGGATTCTTTGATGAATAGAAATTATAAATGACCCATATAATGCATCCTTGAAATAAAAATAAAAATAAAAAAATCTTACTGACCCCAAAGTTTTGAACAGTAGTGTATGCATATATTTATATATAAATTTAAATTATATCCAAAGACCACTATTGGCTTTATTTAGTCTTTTTAATAATAAAAAATACAAATATTATCAGCATTTATCAAATTAAGTTATACATTTAATTGAAAAAATAGCATTGATTTATATGTCGTCCTTCATTTCCATTGATTTTGTGTCTTTTTGCACAATATAAAAATCTATTTATATATTTCCAGTTTCTCTTTAACAGCATACCAACATTGGAGCCCTGGTTTAATGGTTAGCGCTCATTCTCTTGACATATTCAGCGTGACGCGTGACATTTCTTGCTTTTGTTCCCCCTCATTTCCTTTCCTCTTTCCATTATTGTTTCTCTACAAGTTCTTTGATAAATACCACCTAAAACACAAGGTATTGTGGTTTGTTTGGACCGGATGATCTTTGTGCAACTGTGTCAGGGCAACATTCGCAGATTTATAGTGCTTCATTGTCTCTGGAGAGAGTGTACCGAACCAATTTGTGCGATAAACTACATTTATGCTCAATTCGGGAAGACAGTGAATTATTCGTCATCAATTTTCATTTTGGCCAGGCAGGTCATGTGTTGTAATCCCCTCAATGCAGTAGATTAAGGCATTCAAATGGCATTTCCCACACAATGAAGGATTTCACTCTTAATTACCGATTGAACGCAGCGGTGCCTCGCGGCTCAGATCACTCGCTTTTGAGCGAACCCCTACAAAAATCCTCCATCTTGCGTTTATTTATTTTGAGCGTGTTTAGCATTTCCCGAAAAGATCCTCGCAAAGAAGATGATAAGTTTGCTCCTCACAACAGTGTACTGTAGCGTTTGCTTTGGATTATCCTGCAGAGGGACCATCTGGATGAGCTTTCAGTCCATTTCTTGTGAGGAAAATAGACCTTATTCCACATTCAAATGGAGCTATTCGATTAATTTGTGAGACTGGCCGGGGTTACGTGGGTAATGAAGCTAGTGAGAATGTTAATCTTGAATAAAGCTTCGCAGCAGGAGCGATTCTCCTGGGCTCTGGATGAACAGTAGTACCTCTGTTAGTCTGAAACACACAAGATGCATGGCGTTCTTTTATCTGCTACTTGAATAATTGGGCTGAGACATGCTAAAGGTCATTCGGTGATCACCAGAGATCTGTGAAGCAGATTGAGTTCTTCGCTGGCCTTTTGTTAGGATTTATGATTGAGATGTCTAGGAAATCTCTTGACTGTCAAGAATCAAAGGTTGATTGAAAAGGATTCATGAAACCTGCGTATCTGTAACATCGTACAGTTTTGTGGATTTTTTCATCCCTAAAGTGCATTTTAGTTAGTGTTTCCTGCACTAAATATTATTAAAATACCGTAAATTACTTACAATGTTTCTAATTTGTAAGTCACTTTGGATAAAAGCATCTGCTGAATGAATAAAAAACCAAAATATTGTGAAAATCGCCTTTAAAGATGTCCAAATAAAGTCCTTAGTAATTCATATTACTAATCAAAAATGAAGTTTTTATTTATTTACGGTAGGAAATTTACAAAATATCTTCATGGAACATGATCTTTACTTAATATCCTAATCATTTTTGGCATAAAAGAAAAATCAATAATTTTGACCCATACAATGTATTTTTGGCTATTGCTACAAATATACCCCAGCGACTTAAGACTGGTTTTGTGGTCCAGGGTCACATATATGTTAATATAAACGTAAAAATATACATATTAAGTATAATATATAGAAATGTTTAAATCTGTTTATTTATTTAGAAAATATATTTTATATTTACTTTATATTTCAATATATATTTAAAAAATATATTTTTTAAATTTTTTATATTGTTTAAAAACGAATCTATTACTTAAGGTGCACACATCATCTTTAAATCTATTTTACATCTATATTATTATAAATATAACTGTAAAATATAGGATAAAAGCATCTGCTGAATGAATAAATGTAAAATGCAAAAGTACAAAAATGACATAAAATCAAGGCATTTCCACAGATTTCATCCCCCAAAAGGCATGGGCCTGCTTTATAGTGTACATAGCACTTTATAATATATTTTAAATATGTGACCCTGGACCACAAAACCAGTCATAAGGGTCAATTTTTCGAAATTGAGATTTATACATCATCTGAAAGCTGAATAAATAAGCTTTCCATTTGGCCGAGAATCTATTACTTAAGGTGCACACATCATCTTTAAATCTATTTTACATCTATATTATTATAAATATAACTGTAAAATATATTTAATAGTATATAAATAATAGTCTTTTTTAAAGAATAAAAAGAAATATTTAAACTATTTATTTATTTCAAAATATATTTGTTATATTTTATAATTCAATATCATTTTTAAAAACATATATACATTTTACATGTTTTATTTAAACAAACTTATTTAATTATAGTGCACACATTATCTTTAAGTATTCTAAATATATATTATTCGAATCACAAATGTAAAATATATTTAAAGGGATATGAATATTAAATATAATATATAGGAATATTTAAATCTGTCTATTTAAAAGTACATGTTTTATATTTATATTTTATAATGCAACATATACTTGTAAAATATATGCATATTTTAAAAAACAAATCTAATTATAGTGCACACATCATCTTTAAATAAATGTTAAATATATATATTATTATAACCATATAAAATATATCTAAACGTGTATCATCTAAATTCTTAAAAAAGGTCTATAATTTAATTATAAAATATTTCTTTCTTTCTTTATTTGATAGATTTTCATGTGCATTTTTGTATAAACACGTTCAAAAGTCTAACCTGTTAAATCTTTATGATTTTGTTGCAGGTGAAGAAGATCAACAGAAACTTTCCAGTAAACCAGCAGGTAAGGAAACAGAATCAGACTGGTTGAGAAGGTGTGAATTGGACCTGGAAAGAGTGACAAAAAGCCTGCAGAGATCCAGATGAAGCCCTGATAGAGCGAGTGACTTGGTCGGCACACTTGAATGAAGCCCCACAATGATGTTTTCTGTCAGAGCCACTATTCTTCATGCGCTGTGACGCATGTGCCCTGCAGAAAGCCAAGAGTCAAGTTCACAGGGCATTGAGATTCTCTGAACCGCCTGACGCCGTGCTCCTCAAAAGCGTTTGACACACACAGACTGACAGACACTTGGTCACAGTGTCCAGCTTTAGTCTGTGACCTCCCAGTGCTGACATTTTCAACGATCAAGCTCTGAATTAGACTTCATTTTTGGCGAATGTTGAATGGAGAAGAATGTTTCTTCCTGGAAACTCTGTGCAGACTAATTACTTGGAACGTCTTAGTCCTTCTATAACCTATTTGACACTTTCTTTTTGTGTCTTTCTGTCGTTTAGATTATATTTATGGGCTGGGTGGATGAGAAGGAACAAGATTCTGTTCAGGACCGAATGTACACACCAAAGTTTCTTGCCTTGAGGGGTTCGTCTCTCTTCAAATTCTCCGCACCTCCAGTGAGTTCTTCTGCATGATTTATTGCATCAGGAGTCTTTCAGTTTCAATAGCTGACTTTTCTATGATTTTATATTTAGCATACGCACACAATATTTATTCTACTTGGGGCAACTTTGGCTGGAAAAAAAAAACAGTGACAATTATGAAAGCACATCAAACTCTTGTTGAAACTTTTCTTGAGTGCAGTTCATTGCACTGAATAATGATCTTTAAAAAAGCATCATATGACCCCTTTAAAGGAACACTTGACCCAAAAATGCATATTTCCTCACTCTTTTAAAACCTTTAAGCTGTTTTTAGTGTAAAACAAAAGATTTAGACTTGAATTTCAGTGTTTTCTTTACACAAATCTATTGCATGACTTGTAATATAGCACTCAAGTCATAGGTTTTTGTTCTATTTGTAGCAAATATGGACATTGTTAACTTAAAATTATTTATAAAATAAAAATTTAAATTAAAAATATAAAATTAAAAGAATAATTTAAAAAATCTTCTTTGATGTTCCATGAAAATATATCTATTAAAAATAATTTCGTTAACTGAAATAAAGATGCAATTAAATCAAATATAAAGATTAGAAAGATTAGACATTTGGACTTTTAAAAAACTTTCGTTATAAATGATAAATGTTGCCTTGGCAATTAAATTAAATACAATTAATTAAAAATAAAATAAAATAAATTGAAGTTGAAGTACATTTCTAAATAAATAAATTACTAAATTATTTAAATAAATACTAAAATCACTCAATTACTGAAATAAAAATAGTAAACATAAATATGAAAAAATACAATAAAAATTACAAAAGCATGTAACAAAATTACAAAAACTAAAATTAATATGAAAACTGAAAATACAAAAATAAAAGCGAATTTGAAGTATTAAAAATACTTTAATAGTATGCAGAGAATGCTAAAATAAATATGAAAAAAACTACACACATGTACAAAAGCATATAACAAAATTACAAAAACTAAAATTATTATGAAAACTGAAAATATAAAAATAAAAGTTAATTTAAAGTATTAAAAATACTTTAATAGTATGCAAATAATGCTAAAATAAATATGAAAAACTACACAAAATTACAAAAGCATGTAAAAAAATTACAAAAGCATATAACAAAATTACAAAAGCATATAACAAAATTACAAAAACTGAAATTATTATGAAAACTGAAAATATAAAAATAAAAGCTAATTTAAAATATTAAAAATACTTTAATAGTATGCAAATAATGCTAAAATAAATATGAAAAAAACTACACAAAATTACAAAAGCATGTAACAAAATTACAAAAACTGAAATTATTATGAAAACTGAAAATATAAAAATAAACACTAATTTAAAATATGAAAAAATATTTTAATGGTATGTAAATAATACTAAAATAACACTGCAGGATACAGTTTGGGTTTGGAATGACGATGAGTAAATATTCATTTTTTTGGTGAATTATTTCTTTAAAGAATTGCCCATTTTCACCCCCAAGCAGTTGGCGTCCACATTATTTGCTCCAGTTGTTATCGACTTTATGAAATCCATTAATCCGTTCAGCCGTCCGCAGGCTAAATCACCTAACCTGATGCTCTAACACCTCCATTTAATAAAGCCTAATCTCCGTACACAATCAGCAATTAATTTAAACACCTTCATCATAATTCTGGGAAATGATTTAGAATGAAACATGAATGATAATCTGAGAAGTGTCTCATTAAAGGTAAACCTCTCCTAATATGGAGATTGATAACATTGATAACGGTGGTTTTTACCTCTCGGTCTCCCCCCGTGTTTCACGTCAGATGGTTCGGTCCTGATGAAATGAGGAATTGCTGTAGTTGGTGCTTGTAGATGTTGCCACTTAATTAATTTATCCTGAAGAGATCGAGACATCAAAGAGCTTCATCCAATCTGCCATTAATCGTAATTTGATGGTGGAGTGGGAGGAAGATCAAAAGTTTGGATGTGAAAACCTATTATGGCATACGCAGATGCAAAATTACATTGGAGAGAACTTATGACACTCCGCAGTTTGTCCAAAGGCTCTCTCAGGTTATTTCAGCTCGTTCAGATGTTGTCTGCTTGCGCCAGTAAACACTTGACATGCTGCCTTGCAGGAAGGACTAGGTAGAAAGTTGGATTTCTAAGCAAATTTTGACATGAAAGCAGTTCAGGTGCACAAAGCCAAGTTTTGGTTAATCTGGTTAGCCCCCCAAAAAGATATGTTTTGTATGTCTGTTGCTGTTCAGAACCTATTACTTATTTCTGAGTAACAAAGGACATTCAAGCAGACCAAATATAGGATGACTTGATTTTTGCAACTGGGAGTCAAGTGGATCGTGAAAAGGGTCTCTGTATGACACAAGGTTGGAGGGGTTGAAAAATGAAAGGCCTTTATGAAAAAGAAAGTAATTTCAGATTTCATTTTGATGAACGATTATGGAGGCCATCATTTTATTTTCTTAGCAATAACTTCAGTGATTAATCATACACTATTAGACCAGTACTGTGTTAAGAAAGTAAAATGGTTAATATTATTATTATTATAATAATTATTATTAATAATAATACATTTTATTTAAGGCGCCTTTCAAATCACTCAGGGTCACCGTACATCATGAACAATAAATAAAACAGCAATAAATAACAATAAATAGCAATATCAATGAACCATAAAAAAGAACATAATTAAAGATTTGAGTGTAGACAGTAATCATGTATTACTGTTATTATTAAATATAATTGTTTTATTACATTTATTTAAATCTATCCAAAATTATTATGAATTAAATTAACTATTTTTTCATGGTTATAATTTTTTATAATTATTTATTTTTCATAATTTATGAATATATTTTCTGTTGTTTTTTTGTAATATTATTAAAAACTTTTTTTTTCTTTGGAGTAACATGCAGTAAGGCCAGAAACAAAGAAAAATATCATTTTATTATTATTATTATTATTACATTCATTTATTAAATGTATTCAAATTATTTATTTTTTTGTTACATGCTCTGATGAATCATACACAATAGAAGCATGTTTAAAAAGTAAAAAGAGAAATTATTACTATTATTATTACATTAATTTATTAAATTCATTAAATGTATTTAAATTTATTCATTAATGAAAATATTTTTATTATTTTTATACAATTTTATTATTTAATTTTTTGTTTGTTCATAAAGTACAAAGGGTTATTATAATTTTTTTATTAGTATTATTATTATTGCATTTACATTTATATATTAAATTCATTAAAGATATCCAAATATTTTGTTGTTTATAATTTTTTATAATGTTTTATTATTATCCTATTAATAATAATATTTATGATAATAATGGCTAGGTTTACCAGTTGGCTCAACCAAGTTAATGCACTACTTCCAAACGCCATATATTACCTTTTTATTATGTCTTGTTCCATGCATCAAGGAGATCTTTGGATGATCACCCAAAGTCTATGTCAGTGCAGTGTGCGTGTGTGTGTGCGTGTGCGTATGCGTGTGTGTGCGTGTGTGTGTGTGTGTGTGTGTGTGTGCGCGTGTGCGTATGCGTGTGTGTGCGTGTGCACGTGTGCGTATGCGTGTGTGTGCGTGTGTGTGTGTGCGTGTGCGTGCGCGTGTGCGTGCGTTTACTCAAGCAGTGAGTTCTTGACTGGTATTCTGACATTTGAAAACTCTGCTCTGAGCCACTTCAGTCTGAAGAAAACACTCCTGAGTTCTCTGTTCCGTCATGATCCATCTTCACTGGTCTTTGGGTATTAGAGGTTACTGCCGATGCTCAGCGTGAGTCGTTCTCGTACACAGGATCTCAGGGGGTTTTCCCTCCTTCGTGTTTACTTCATGCAGCATTTGAATCATCCCTCGAGGGCCGCACGGTGAGAGCGAGTGACCCAGAGCTAATCTGAATAATGCACTGTCTGTGACGACTGACAGCCATCTGAACTCCTCTAGGTCACCACCTGGGACTGGACCAGAGCCGAGAAGAGCTTCACCGTCTACGAGATCATGTTCAAGATACTGAAGGTATGAGCTCAAGTACTTCGGGATTTCACCTGTCAAGCCTTACACATTAATACTGTGATGCTATCAGATATTTAGCTGGTGATAAATCAGTGTCCTCCTACAGGTACTTATTCTGTGGTTATTTATTGAGTAATAATTAGAATGACTTTTTATATAAGAATTTAATTACATTTAATTTAAAACCCATTCATAATTGCAAATTGTAGACATAAAACTGAAGAAAATTTAAAAAAAAAAATTTTTCTTAGTCACTAATACAGTTTTATATTTATAATTATGTCATTCTCAAAAAAATATTGTTTGTCTGACTCAGTATGTTTTGAATTTTTTCTCCCATAAAGGCGGATGGAAAGGATTCATTCACTTCATTAAATAATTATTACAACACCAGTGACAATAGTAACCTAGAAAGATAGTGCATTACAACTTTTTTGTATTTGATATCAGAAATCAAGGGGACAAATATTATTTTTAAATTATTTAAATTGCAAATTACTTAATTTGTTTAGATTTTTGCATGTAGGGAAAGTTTGAAAAAAATTTCTTTTAATGAAATAAAAATAAAATAAAGTAGCAATGTGTTATTCTTATTTGCATTTAACATCCCATATGCATACGCTTCATTTCAGGAAAAAAAAAAAAAAATGGCACTAATGCTTTAATACAATTTGTAAAAAAAAACAAAACAAAAAAAACCAATAAATAATAATAAATCATTCTTAGACTAAACAACTAACACTTTATATATTGTCAAAAGTTTAGAAACATTATAATTTTTAAATGTTTTAATGAAGTCTCTTGTGCTCACCAAGGCTGCATTTACTTAAAGAATACAGTAAAAACGGTAATATTGTGAAATATTATTATCATTTGAAATAACTCATTTCTATTTGAATATATTTTATAATGTAATTTATTTCTGACGCAAAGCTGTATTTTCAGCATCATTACTCCAGTCTTCAGTCACATGATCCTTCAGAAATCATCCTAATATGATGATAATTGACTTGAATCTATTAACAGAAAAAAAAATTATTGAAAAAAATTTCTTTTAATGAAATAAAAATAAAATAAAGTAGCAATGTGTTATTCTTATTTGCATTTAACATCCCATATGCATACGCTTCATTTCAGGAAAAAAAAAAAAAAATGGCACTAATGCTTTAATACAATTTGTAAAAAAAAACAAAACAAAAAAAACCAATAAATAATAATAAATCATTCTTAGACTAAACAACTAACACTTTATATATTGTCAAAAGTTTAGAAACATTATAATTTTTAAATGTTTTAATGAAGTCTCTTGTGCTCACCAAGGCTGCATTTACTTAAAGAATACAGTAAAAACGGTAATATTGTGAAATATTATTATCATTTGAAATAACTCATTTCTATTTGAATATATTTTATAATGTAATTTATTTCTGACGCAAAGCTGTATTTTCAGCATCATTACTCCAGTCTTCAGTGTCACATGATCCTTCAGAAATCATCCTAATATGATGATAATTGACTTGAATCTATTAACAGAAAAAAAAATTATGTTTCCAAATTTTTGACAAGTACTGCATGTATTGTATGTATGTATGTATCAGGTGAATTTATTTTCAGATAATTTAAGAATGTATATATTTATATTTTTTATTATTGTATTTTTTAATAACTGGTTAGGTTATATAGATTTTATATGTCTGAAATGAAAAAGACATTTTTGAGAATGAGCCAATCCATAAAATCATACATCTATGTGTTTTAACATGATGTCAACTCAATGCATTATTTTAGGATAATGAGCTGGTGGACAAGCGGAAGCACTGCTTCAGCGTTCAGACGGACTCGGGCGAGGACATCTTCTTCAGCGTGGAGCTGGAATGTGAGCTGCTTCTGTGGGAGAAAGCCTTTCAGATGGCCACCTTCTTCGAAGTGGAGCGAATACAGGTACTGAACCTACCAGAGTCTGCAGAGTTAGTGTGATCCAACTCCAGTTTAACTGCTCAGACAGACTAAATCAAACTCTGTAAGTGAAATGAGGGACTATCAGCGGCGATGTTACATCAAACCCAGCAGAGCTGAGATCAGATCGAGGCGAATAAAACGGCACCTGCCAGACAATGTTGAACAACACAAACTCTGAGTGATTGAGGCTGTGCCAAAAAGAGAGGAAGTGTGATTTGTTATTCAGTACTTGAAGGAAACACATTGTTCACAAACGCACTATGAAAACATATTTTGTTTGGAGATATTAATCTAATCTAATCCTGGGTTCGACCTGCTGAATGAGTGTTTCTTCAGCTACAGCCACTTTTATGTGCCAGCTGTTGTTTTTGTATCAAAACAGATTTCAACTTTTAATATGAAGGTCACATTTAAACACATTTTTTGCTACAGTACTTTTCAGGTGTTATTTATGGATAGGTTTTATTGTTTTACCCTTGTCCCAGACCCAAGCGTTCAAACATAAATATGAAAATCCATAATAAAAACTATTTTGAAAGCAAAAATAATCAGTTCAGATAGTGAAATGAACATTTTTTAGTTTGTGAAAATGATGTACATAAATTTGACACTTTTTGCCACTCTTTTTGTCCAACAATTTTGATAATAAAATTGATCAAAAGTCAGTGTACGGTATTTTTTTACCAGCTGGGCAAAAGTGTTGGTAAAGAGTTTGAGATGAAATAAAAGACATGATCACTTGTGAACGGAATTTTCTTTTTCTTTATCATTTCCAGTCGATCTGTAATTGTGTCAAAATGATGCAGAAAAGTGTCAAAATATTATTTAATTTTGTGAATTTAGGAACATAAAATGCTAGTTGTTAAATTAGTCTTAGAAAAACAGTCATTCAAACGTCATTCAAAAAAATGTAAAATTAAAAATTGTTGCTTAAATTAAAAAATGTTTAATTAAAAAATAAATTAAACATTAAATTAAATAAAAAATTTAATTTAAAAACTTTTTACATTACTGTCCTATTATCTACCTATGTTAGTTCATGCGTTAACTAAAATGAACTTATAATGAGCAGTTAATTTGTTTATATATATATATATATATATATATATATATATATATAAACTCAGGTCCATTGAATAATGTTAACAGAAACTACTTTTGATTTTAATAATGTATTAATAAATGTGGAAATTAATATTAACTAAAATTTATAAATAAATGTTTTAGAATTATTTTTCATTGTTAGTTCATGTTAACTAATGTAGTTAATTAATGTTAACAAATGCAACCTTATTAGTGTTACAAATACTTATTCTATTCTCATAATCATTTCATTTAACTTGATGTACAAAAATAACTAAAATAAATAAAAATTAATAAAAAAAACTATATAGACATTTTTTTTTTAATGAATAAAAATGACAAAAACACAACAGAATTACTGAAACTTGAACTAAAATTAAAGTGAAAACAGAAAATATACAAATAAAATCTAATTTAAAATATTAACAAAAACTATAATGGTATATCAATGATTCTAAATTAACACTGATGTGTGAAAAATGTCATTTAATAGAGTTTTTGTTCTTACTGGATCAAAATTGGCCATAGTTGTAGAAATAGCCATAGATTCATGTACAGGATGCAATGATGTATATTTCAAATATTATACAGTATGTAAGTACAGCATGTACTTTCGCATTGAAGCAAATCTATTTTCCATATTCTAGCAAGAAGATAGCAGGACAATTTCCTGCAACTGTTTCACATTCATGAAAAACAAGGGTGGCACAAATTAAATCGCTGCCAAGTTGTCCCACTAAACCAAACTAATGCGGCAAAACCCTGAACGTGCCTCGTGCCAAAAAATCGCTTCTGTTTATTTTTCTCCCAAAATAATTATGTACGACACTTATCGTCTTAATTAAACATTTAAGAGATGGAGGAGATGTTTGTGTCTGCCAGTTTGTCTGATTAACAATGCCAAGTGTCTCCCGTTTCAGTGTAAAACATACGCTTGCATCATGGACAGTCATCTCATGGGACTCACCATCGATTTCAGCATGGGCTTCGTCTGCTTCGATGCCGCCACAAAGGTGAAGCATGCAACCTTCAGTCTTAATTTCATTGAAGTAAAAGTAAAATGCATGATCACAGGTTATTAAATTCTCATTAAGTTCTCATTCAATAGAGCTACTCTGTTGCTATGTGCTTTGCATTTATATCACACCAAATATTTATAGAAAATTCTCTTCTTTTTTTAATGACACTATTGCCAAATATTGTCCTATTTTAACAAACCATACATCAATGGAAAGCTTATTTATTCAGTTTTCATAAGATGTATAAATCTCAATTTCGAAAAATGGACCCTTATGACTAGTTTTGTGGTCCAGGGTCACATATAAACATTTGCCTGTTATAATAGAGTTTTTGCTGTGGTTGTTTAAAACATATTCTGTTGTGTTTGGTAATATTATCACTCTATTAAGATACTGTGACTCTGTTTGTAATAACAGACTGCCACTGGCTATATTCACAGTAATAATATTTAAAAGTAATAAAATAAATAAAAAAGTAATAAAAGGAAATAAAGCAATAAAAGTAATATTTTCATACAAACAACGTGTAGAATTAACACTCTACAATGGACAAGTGTGCCAAAAGTGGTTTTGGTGTGTTAAAAAAAAAAAGTTGCACATCAAAAAATAATTTTTAATTATTTTTTGTTGAGTTTTTGCTGTGGTTGTTTAAAACATATTCTGTTGTGTTTGGTAATATTATCACTCTATTAAGATACTGTGACTCTGTTTGTAATAACAGACTGCCACTGGCTATATTCACAGTAATAATATTTAAAAGTAATAAAATAAATAAAAAAGTAATAAAAGGAAATAAAGCAATAAAAGTAATATTTTCATACAAACAACGTGTAGAATTAACACTACAATGGACAAGTGTGCCAAAAGTGGTTTTGGTGTGTTAAAAAAAAAAAGTTGCACATCAAAAAATAATTTTTAATAATTTTTTGTTTTTGTTAATAAGATACACTACACTGAAAACAGTTGGTGTAGAAACAGTTTTCACTTAAATTGCTAGTAAATTTCATAAACAATGACAAAGCAATGTCAGATAACACAGGGAATTAAATGTGAAATTTTGAACTTTAATATTTAAAAAAGATTTAGTTTTTTTTTTATTCAAAAAGGACCCATTAAATTGATCAAATGTGACAGTAAAAACAAAATTAAGCAAAATTATTAAGCAGCACAACTGTTTTCAACATTGATAATAATAATGTTTCTTGAGCAGCAAATCACCATATTAGAATGATTTCTGAAAGATCAAAATTCAGCTTTACATCACAGAAATAAATTATATATTCACATCGAAAACACTTATTTTAAATTGTAATAATATTTCACAATATTACTGTTTTTACTGTAACTTTTATCAAATCTTTATCTTGGTGAGCATAAAAACTTCTTTCAAAAATACAAAACAATTCTTACAGACCCTACATTTTTAAACAGACTTTTTTTACTCTTAAATGTAAAATTTCTATGTTAAAAACCCATTGGGAAGAACACGAGAGAACACAAATGCTTGTTTTCTCTCTAATAACCTGTACCCCAGTGGAAAGTTCAGCATCAGATATCAGTTATCTAGTTATATTATGTTTATTTTGCTCCAGAAATTCAAGTTGTCCACATTAAAACAGCCAGATAAAAATATGAGGAATAAAATAACAAAAATGAGAAGTCTTGATGCTTTTTGTGTGAGAGATGCCTGTGCTGTTTGTCTGAAATATGCAAAATAATTACAAGCTAAGAAATTCCATTATCGAAGGAATGAAAAAAGTTGCAATAAACAACAGCTTAATGGGTATGAAATATTCAATGCAGATATTTTTGAAATATAAAAAGTAATTTTCCACAATTCTCGGGTTAATTTAAGATACTTTTCATGTCTATGGAGTTATTAATATGCAAAATTGAAACCTCCATTATAGGCAGTGCTGTGGAGATATAAATTCTCTCAGCTGAAAGGATCCTCAGATGACGGCAAGAGCAAAATCAAGTTCCTGTTCCAGAATCAAGACACAAAACTTATTGAAGCAAAGGTAAGTTCACTCTTTTTGCTTTTGTTATTGGCTTCATAATGTCTGTCTATGAAAAAGAACGTCTCGGTTACGTATGGTAACCCTCGTTCCCTGAAGGAGGGAACGGAGACGTCACGTCGGATGACCGACGAATTGGGATCTCGCTTAGAGAGACCAATCTACTTCGAGTGTAAACTAAACGAGCCAATGCACATTGGCATGCGATTATTGCATCCAGCTGCTGCTGATCACAGCGTGAGTATAAGTAGGCAGCAGATGCACCGCATATTCAGGTTTTCGCTGAGGAGCCGAGCCGGTGACCCGGCCGCTCAGCGGTGGTACAGGAGCTGTGGCGACGGGACGTGACGTCTCCGTTCCCTCCTTCAGGGAACGAGGGTTACATACGTAACCGAGACGTTCCCTTTCAGTCGGTCACTCTCGACGTCACGTCGGATGACCGACGAAATTGGGATCCTACCAAAGGGCCACAGCTACTGCCCCTTCCAGTGTCCTGTGGAAGCCACCTGCACCCCTACTTTTTGGCGTAGGCCAGGGCTTGCACAAGAGGACCAGCTACTGCTGCTATGGCACTACCCAATGAGTAAGACTGGATAACACTGGGAAAACGTACCCGTTCTACTTGGAACAGGGACGTTACGGAAGCTCCAACCTTCCCGAAGGAGGTTTCGGAAGCAAATACACATATGAACATTCCTTAGGTGCATATGGAAGAATGGAGGTGATTGTAACCCTCTTGGAATGGCAGAAGTCTGCCGGGGCGCTCTGCTCCGAAGCGAAAAGCTGAATATGGGCTGCATCTGCTGCCTACTTATACTCACGCTGTGATCAGCGGCAGCTGGATGCAATAATCGCATGCCAATGTGCATTGGGTCGTTTAGTTTACACTCGAAGTAGATTGGTCTCTCTAAGCGAGATCCCAATTCGTCGGTCATCCGACGTGACGTCGAGAGTGACCGACTGAAAGGGAAAGATGTTTCACACTCTTTAGCATTTTAATATACCTGAGGCAGGTATACTCTGAATAAGTATGGATCATCAGCATATCATACACTTTATGGTAACCTCCAAACTTTTCAAAACATCATAGCTGAAGGAAGCAGATAAAAATAAAGCGTGATGATATGAATTTCCTGTTTGATTATTTTCCCCGTAGGCCGTAAATGCAAGCACTTTCATGCGCCGAGTTTGATTTGATTTCTGCTTGAGGCTTCCTCCTTTCTCCCCGATGTTTCCAGGAGCTGGAGTTCTCCAACCTCTTCGCGGTTCTCCACTGCATCCACGCTTTCTTCGCCGCCAAAGTGGCTTGTCTGGATCCCATGTTCGTGAGCAGCCGAAAAGCCGCCATGGCCCCCGTGGTGTCGGCCACTTCCACCTTAACCGCCCCGTCACAGACATCCAAGCTCAAATACACCAGCTGACAGACTCCAGCGACCTATCTTCTCCTTACAGACTTTGAAAACGTAGGATGAGAGGAACCAGCCCTGACGAACGAGTGGACATCCACTTTGAAACAAACAATTCGTACGTAACATTGAAAACCTCGCTATATCCTCCAGACGGGAATCAGACTCAAACGTAAGCCATTATACGAAGAGCTGGATGAATTTCAAACATTTTCACATTAAAGGTGCTGTATGTAAGTTTTTGACTCTACTAAAGCATAAAAATACCATAATATGTTTGCAGATATTTAAGAAACATGCTAAGTTAACATACTTGTTTATCTGAAAAACAATGCTACAGTCAGTTATTTGCCTTTGAAAATGTGCGTTCCGGGCCGGAATGTCGAGAAGGGTATAACTGCAGCCTGGAGATCTCCAAATGGGGGCGGGAACTCCAAAACGGGGTGGGAGCTCCAAAATAGGGCGTGGCTTCCTCCCATTGACAGACAGGCACATGACACGCATGCGCAATTTTTTCCCCCCAATCCACTTCAGTGTAAACTCCGCCCCACAGCTGATTTCAGGAGATAAACAGTTAATAAGATTATGCGATATGAGATCGTTCCGTAACTCTCCAACCGGACCTCACCGGACAATGGCACCTTTTTAGTTACACCCAGCGTCACTACCCCCTCCTACCCTACGAATTTCGAGCCCCGTGACACCCCCGTTGCTTAGAACAAAGCGACAGAGTAAAATCTTTCCCCTGCGCTGTTTGGTTGTGTCAATTAAAGTGTTGATTTCCTACACAAAAAATGCTAACCCCTAAACCTAGCCCACACCTGACCCTAACCTTAACCAGTGAAATTGACTGCACGGCGGGACTGGCGCTAAATAGCGTGGTACAGAAAGATTAATAAGTTAAGTTAATAAGATTATGCGAAATGAGATCGTTCCGTAACTCCCCAACCGGACCTCACCGGACAGTGGCACA